ATTTGAGGGTTAGAAGATCTGCATGGAGTGGCATTGTAGCAAGATCAAAAAATTTAAAAACTCCCTTCTGAACTGAGTATTCAGCTTACAAGAGTTATGTGGTGATGTAGACATGCAGTTGTAAAATGCAAAATCATTCACAATGGAGGGCGTCGAAAACTCGAAAAGTACTAAGGGGCTGTTCTCATTGACTGAGCTGAACTGAAATGAAATGAATATTTTATAAGAGAAGGAAATTAGGAGCGAAGTTGAACTGAGCTGAGCTGAATTGAATTTTAACGTAAGAGAACAGGCCCTAACACTCCAAGCGATCAATATTAAACTGAAAGGCAACTGATGTAATAGTATAATCCTTTGAATAAATTTTCATTACAGTGAAACATACCATCACGACTTTGAAGTAGACATAATTATCGCTTTCGATGTTCTTGCAAACAAATTTTCAACAAGCTACAATCTACAACTATGTCATCTAATACAGACATACAGTTATCACTGATTTCAAAATAATTACTACGGTTTGTTTGGTGATACAAATGATGGTAATGGTAATGGATTCACAAATAAGTTTGCGAATAAATTTCATGCCAATATCCTTTTTATCATCACAATACATGTTTGAGGAAGAAGTTACATACTTAGTAATGAACATGTTTCCTCACCAAATTAGAACAAAGTCATTCAAATATATTATTGTTTTACAAACGGCCATTAAGCTATATATAAACCTCTTTAAAATTCAAATAAACATGGTTATTAATTTAAAACCGAAAATAATTATCTTTTAATTTGAAGGGTCAAAAACAAAAAAACTAAAGTCAATGTAAAAACTTGTATGTAGTATTTATTTATTTATTTATTTATTTATTTATTTATTTATTATTATTATTATTATTATTATTTATTTTTTGAAAAAAGTCCTAAAAGGATACTAAATTTCATTAATGTAAGCCATACGGCATCTACAATTGACAATGAACGATAATGAAAACGAATTTAACAAAATCAAACAAGAATTAATCGGGGAAGGGCTAAGAATCCAAATACATAAATATAACAATTCAACATATTCTCGATTTGTTGTCTCATACAACTTTTTGAGTGGATCCGTCATCGCTTCGCAATTTTATGAGAAAGTAAATTCTTGTGTTGATTCCGTAACCCGAATCCGAGCCACAATCAATAGTAGCCCAGCACAACCGGAGACCAGATTAAGCACAAATAAAACCTTGCCTTTCGAAGGAGAACGAAAAACCTTGTCTTTCAAAGGAGATCGAAAAAACCTTGTCTTTCGAAGGAGATAAACCCTTTCTTTCGAGGGATACATTATTGTAACCTAAAACAAATTAAAAAGCTTAAAAGAAAATAAAGATTGGGGCTTTCCACCGGTGAAATCCGATGGAAGCCCCTTAAAATTAACAAAGGAGACTAGGTTTAGGAGAGAGAAGAGAGAAAAGGAGGCTAGGGTTTTTTACTGATTATCATGTGTGTTATTATTATTATTATTACTACCTCCGTTAATAGTTATCTGCAACTTTGGAATATTTTATCTCTCACAAATAATACCCAAAGTTGCAGATAACTATTAAGGTATTATTATTATTATTATTATTATTATTATTATTATTTTAAAAGTTATGGTCAAGGAAGCATTATTTATTTTCTCATGAATATCATTATATACTTGTATCAATAAAAATTGATAATTAAACCATGAATTTAATATAGAGTCTTTTCTTTCTTTCAGAAATCAAGAGTTGCTTAAGATTACAAAATCCACTGTTTTTGGAAGGCAAAGGTATCTTTAGCAAAATCTAATCCTTCCCCTTTCCTCTTAAGTAAAGTTAGATTATATAAAGTTTGTTTAATTAAAGTTGATGGTGGGCTTCCAATATAATAGAAAACTTTGGCAATCAAAGTTGCTTTCGATGTTACGCTTGCTTGGAAAGACATGTTTGACGCAAACAGTTCTTAGGCCAATGCTATTGGAGATTTTGGAAGCAATTATTTTAATCTTCTATTTGATTTTTAAATGGAGTTAAGGTGATATACTAGTTTTAATGAAGTTTAATTATTACATTACTCCCTCCGTCTCTAAATTAAATTCCTACTTATCTCTATTATTTGAGGAATAAATGCTAGAAGTAGGAATGTAATTTAGGGACGAATGGAGAACTATTTAAGCTCATAATTGACCATACATCGACTATTTAAGCTCATAATTGACCATACATCGACTATGATAAACTCATAAAATATAAGTGATACTTGTTTTGGTAAAAAAGTTAAATTGAGTGTCAAGTAAAGGGTAAAAACTTGATCAAATTCAATGGATAGATTACACCTACAGAATTGACATTATGTATAAAGCATTGGTCAAATGTGGCAATGTAACGAACTTGTCAATGAGCCAATGAAGCATATGACCCCTTTTTTTTTCGCACATAATCTAAGCTGTAGTGTATATAGTTGTATTATGTAGAGCTGGTTATATCATATCTGATACAAACCACCTATATTGAAACTATTGAGAGAAACTCGGACAACCGAATTTGATTCAAATCATATTTTGTACTACTATTACGTTTATATTACTCTTACTTTTAATAAGTTTTTAGCATAATCCAATATTAATCCAAATTCAAGAATCAAGGTTGGTCTAGTTAGTTAGAGGCACTCTTCACATCAATAAGTGATGTTTGATTCTCCCAAACATCACTTACTTGTAAGAGAATTCTTCTACTAAAAAAAAAATAATAGCTTAATATGTTTGATCCACATTTTTCACTTACTTGTAAGAGAATTCTTCTACTAAAAAAAATAATAGTTTAATACTACATATATAAGTAAATAACATGGATCCGAATCTAACTAGTTGACTCAGGTAATCGACCCGAGTGTAATGGGAAATTAGGATGATAATACAAAATTTTTAGTGGTTTTTTAGATATAACTATATAAGTTTCACAAATCTCAAATAATTATGGACTTTTGGAGTTTGGACCCACCTTATGCTTGCTTGAATTATTTGATGCCCTCCAACTAAGTAGGCTTAATCATACTTAACTTGTGTGATTGGGGAAATGTTGGACCAAAGGCACAATGAAATTCAGGGCCAAGGAGAAGTAAGCCGAAATAATAGAGCAAGTTCTTGGATGCCTTTATTTCTGCAGTAGATTGAGATACTCGTACCTTGAATTGTGTCGTTACTCGATCTTGTTAGTCGCAAAGTCAATAAAAAAAAGGACTAACTTTACTTGTCATGAAGTTTACAATAGCCCTAGACAAAGGGGCATCAAACTTAGTCCGATGCTCCGATGTATATTTCAAGTTTTCAACAACTTAGAGTATACTCAATGATTGCCCTAAGGTATCAACTTATTTTGTCATGGATCTTTACTGATCACTTATGCCCCAAACCAATCCAAAGGATCCTAATTGATAGCCTAATACTCTCAATAGTTCTTAGAGGTGTAAAGGTGTTAATTCGGGTCAATGAGTCGAGTTCAGTTGATCTAATTAGATTAGGTTGCGTCTAGGTCAGGAATGAGTCATGTATACGTACGTTATTGTACTGTACTCATATAAGTCGAAATTTAAATCAATTCACTTTCGGGTTAGATCGGATGTAGTCGGATCTGAACAGTGTTTGTCGCCTCTTCCTAATAAAATAAATAATTAATTATAACTTTTTGGTTATACACTTTCTCTCTCCTACTTTAACCCAACCCCATTATCCACCAAACAATCTTTATCTTAAATCCTATTATATACATTTGTCACGTCACCAAGGACATCCATCAAAAACAAAACGTGAATATTATTTTAATCAATAACCAAAACTTGTAATTAGTTACTTTCATAACCTAGTTACTATTTTTTTTCAACAAAAATTTTTCTCTTCTCATTTTTTAAATACCTTTCACTTTCTCTCTCCCCATAACCAAGCCAATTGGTTAATGGCTGGCTTTGCTCTTACATTACTTCTAACATTAGCGTTTAAATCTACGTGTACTCTTACTTTTCACATATATATCTACAAGAGTCACATTGATATAAACAAAATCTGATCTTAGGGCCTGTTCTCATACGTTGAAATTCAATTCAGTTCAGTTCAGTTCAGCTCCTAATTTTCTTCTTTTATAAAATATTCATTTCAGTTCAGTTCTTTTCACTTCAACTCAGCTCAATTCAGTTCAATCAATGAGAACAGGCTCTTAGAGTGTCACCTGCAAAACTTAACCCATTAAAATCTTGAAAACAAAGAAAAGAAGGAAAAAAAAAAAAAACAAAAACAAAAACAAAAAAAAAAAAAAATCAACCTTGATAAGTAGCCTATAGTATAACTTGAATCATACGATTTTTAAGATCTCAAAATCAAAATTTGAAAATTCGATGTGACCCATAGAACTTTTCTATAAGAATCTGAGTAGTGAGTCTGTCTGTCAAATGCCAACCATGTATGTAATGTAAATGGATAACAAACTTAGGAATATATTCAAAAATCAGAGTACTGTAATATAGTAACAATAATTCAGCTTTTATTAAAGGTCTGCCAAGCTATTAGATCCTTTGAAAGTTGGCCAGCGAGAGGAACGTAACGCTTTCTAGGCTTTTCATGTTGCCCTTAACCATCATTTTATACTCCTGTGTAGCGCACTTGCATAATTGCATTGCTCCATGATTTTAAAATTACGTGTTTGAATCATTTCAATTTATATTATATGTAGGTCATATATATGTATCAAACTATATAGATGGTAATGCGCGGGTTGAGCTAACATGAAGTCCCGAATGACCCAACACAATTTTATCTAGCATGGCAAAGGCCAGAACAGTGGCGTATCCATGATTTCCGAACAGTGGGTTCGGAATCAAAAAAAAAAAAAAAAGGAACGCGAATACATTAATTAAATATTCAGTACATTAGTTCAAATTTCGGATTACAAATGAATTACACTTAGAAAAATGAAAAAAAAAATAATAAATTAAAAAAAAACCTAAAAAAGCATTCTTCGAGTTTTCATACTTTGGAAGCGTATCAATACATCATCATCACTCACTCTAGCAAATAAGTCTCTCTCAAGAAAAGTGACTAAACTATCATTCAATAATTGATCGCCCATACTATTCCGCAACTTATTTTTTACATAAGTCATTGATGAAAACACTCGTTCCACACTTGCAGTCGCCACCGGAAGGATCAATGCTAGTCGTATAAGCAAGTAAACCAATTTGTAAGAATTATGCTTATTTGTTTCAACAAGCACCATAGAAAGCTCATTAATATCCTTCAAGTCTCCAAACCTTGCATCTTTGCGCATATCATCAATAAAAAATCCAAGTTCATGACGAAGTGCAGTCATTGTCATATCATTAGTTGGAAATTCATTGGGATATAGCTCAGCAAGTCTCATCAACTTTTGCTTATCAAATGCCACAAATGAATTGACCGGATTTAAGCATGATATACAAATAAGCAACTCCATATTTTCCTCATCAAATCTATTATTGAGCTCTTGGAGTTGTAAATCAATGACACTTATAAACATTTATACCCGAAATCGGTGGAGATTAGAAACTTTGGCAAAGAAGCGTTTCGATCTTCCACGAGGAACATACATATCATCCATAGCAGGTACTTCCACATTATACTTATCAGAAAAAGAAATTACAAGATGTAAAAAGTCTTCCCACCCATGGTCCCTCATATTTTGCAATCGCTCCTTAGTTAATGTTACAAATGCCATGGCATTAACAATATCTTGGTCCCCTCTTTGCAAAGCTTGGCACAGTATATCAGTTTGGCCAAATATTTCAGACATCAAATGTATCATGAAAACAAATTCAAATGATTCAAATGTAGACATAATAGTGATAGCCTTCACACGATCATCCTTATAAATCTTATTTGATCCAACCTTCTCAAGAACTTTAACAATAGTAGAATACAATGAGGTAACATTTGAAACAGTTTTATAATGTGACCCCCACCTAGTATCACCAGGCCTACCTAAACCAAGTTCTTGGTTTAAACCTTGCCCACTTTCAATTTCTCCTAGATCTAATGCTTCCAGAACATGTTGAGATTGAATTTCTCTTATCATTTCCTTTCTCTTACAAGAAACACCAATAATATTCAACAAAATAGCAAGTTGATCAAATAACCAAATGCAATCATCATTATCCTTAGCAACAGCAACAAGGGTTAATTGAAGTTGGTGAGCAAAGCAATGAATATAATAAGCTTGTTTTGTTTCATTCATGATCAAAGTCTTGAGGCCATTTATCTCACCCCTCATATTACTAGCACCGTCATAACCTTGTCCACGAACTCTAGACAAACTCAAAGAATGCTCCATAAGCAAAGACTCAATTGCACTCTTTAGTGACAAAGCAGTGGTATCCTTTACATGTACAATTCCAAGAAACCTCTCAGTTATCTTCCCTTTTTTATTGACATAACGTAAACAAAGGGCCATTTGTTCCTTTTGATATATATCACTAGATTCATCAGCTAGTATCCCAAAATAATCATCCCCAATATCATCAATGAGAAGTTTAGTGGTTTCTTTGGCACAAGAGTTAATGAGGTCCTTTTGAATTAAAGGAGAAGTCATTTGATTATTTCCAAGAGCATTACTAAGAACAACCTTTGCAACATCACTATTATTTTCTACAAGCCATGTTAAGAGTGCAAAAAAATTACCCCTATTCCAAGATTCTTCACTTTCATCATGCCCACGACAAGCTAAACCTTGACTTAAAAGAAACTTAATGCATTTCAAAGAATAAGTCAATCGAGATTTGTATTGAAGTTTAGCTTTCGAGGAGTAAGTGCAAAAAGATTCAGCAACAGATGTCTTTGGGTTAATGAAATTTTTATATTTCTCATTAGCTTCATTATGTAAACTACCAATACCACCCACATGAACATCAAATCTACCAATCTTATTCCATCCTCTAAACCCCCCCTTTAACAAAGTTATCATTAACAGCCATATGAGTATCTTTATCCCTGAACAGATAGCACACAAAACAGAAAGCTGCATCCTTCTCAACACTATATTCAAGCCAATCATATTTATCAAACCAAGCAACAATAAAGCGGCGCATACCTCCTATTTGTCTTCGAGGGAAATTATGTGTTCGTGGAGCACAACATTTCATTGTAATATAACCTCTCCTCACAGCATCTTGATCATTAAGAGGATACTCCAAAATTGGAATCTCTTCCCAGGGTCATGTGGAAGAAGATCAACATCATAAATGCGAGTATCATCAGTTTCAACACTAGCATTTGGATTGTTCTCCCTTTGACAAGTTTGAGGTGTGCTCTCAGGGGTTGGAATGGAAGCAGCCACAGGAATTGCATCATCATTCGGAGACTCAATATCATCTTCTTCTATAAGAGGATCCCTTGAACTAGGTGAAGAACAAGTAGAGGATTTTTGTGACTTCCCCACACGTTTCCAAAAAGACTCTAAACTCATTTGCAAACTGAAATCAAACAACAATCATACAATAAATTAACTACACGCTTACACTAAGCACACAATTAAAATGGCTAAGAATAATCATCAATTTATCAATTATAAACCCCAACAATCTAAGTATTCAATATTTCAATCAATAAATCAATTATAAACACCACAAATTTACAATCTAATTAAATGAATTAACATTTAAGTATTGAACTATATAGAATTGTAGAATACCTAAAAAAAAAAGTAGAATTGTAGAGTACCTTACTCCTTTACTCGTTGGGTTGTTGGGAAGGTGGTGGAGCCGTGGAGGAGCAGTCAGGAGGAACCGTGAGTGGTGTGTCGGCGTGCCGCGGTGGCCGGTGGGGTGGAGCCGTGGCGTGGAGGTGAGGAGACGAGGAGAGGCAGGGAGGTGAGTTACAGAGTTAGGGTTTTCGAATTTGGGGGAAATAATTTGGGGGAATGACTGAAGCTGATGACAAATCGCCACTAGGCTGAACATTGTTTTGTTGATATTTAGTGTAAAGATATTGTATTTATCCATTTTTTCTTTTTTTTTTTTTTAAAAAAAAAAAAAACTTTTAATTTTTTTTCAAAAATTCAGTGGGTTCAATGAACCCACTTGAACCCAACCTGTATCCACCCCTGGGCCAGAAGCTGTATGTAGAGCAAATAGTGCGAGCACAAGGTTCCAGTCACAACCCAAGAAAACCGATCATACAATTTAGGGTTTGTTCTGATTTACTGAAATGAGCTAAACTGAATTGCACTAAATGTTTTATAAGATAAGGAAATTAAGAACTGAACTGAAAATAAGATGAAGAGAACAGACCCTTAGTAACATTTTTGTGGTGCTCTTTTAGTGTAGTGCAATGGCCATAAAATATGTTGCTATATATATATATATATATATATATATATATATATATATATATATATATATAGATACCTCAATTAGCCATACATAAAATAATGAATTAAACAAAAAAAGAGAAGATCTTTTACATATCACCATGACAGAGTGGATTTACAAGATATTATTTCAAAGTGGATGAAATGATCATACAAATTATCACCTTTAAGAATCAAAGTGTTCATTTATAAGAATAACTAGGTTAAGTCCCGTGCCATGCACGGTTATAATTAAACTTTACAACAAAAATTATAAAGAATGGTTTTTATTTATTTTTTATTTTATTTTTGAGGTGAATAAAAAATGGTTGTTAATTTAACAATTTATCCAAAAAAAAATATTTGTGACAAAATAACTTGAATTTTAATTTATACCAAATGCGTAAAGGTTATTGTTTTGAATTTTATAAAAAATAATTTATTAATAGAAATTTAGATACTATTGGGTTTTATATAAGAAAACGAAAATATAAGCTTAGGTTAGTACCCGTATATGTCTTAAAAAAAAGGAAAAAAAAATAAAAGGTTAGTACCCGTATACGAACCCATATACATTCGTCCTTATATTTTTGTTGACACACTTTGACCGGCATTAAATGGAAATTTAGTTGATTTATATTACTTTAGGATAATTAGTATTCCATAATCAACTTTTTTAAAATGTATTTATAGTGAGTAGTAGCGGTTTTTATTTTAATTTTAATAATCACATTGCATAATGATTAATGTCAAATGATTAATCTTGGAGCTTGGAGGAAAAAATTGATACTCCTTAATATTTAATACCTTATTTTTAATCTATGTTTGTATACTTGTAACTAAAAGATTAATAGTATATATAGAATATATGTTAAAAAATATATTAATTGAGTATAATTGGATTAGATATGTTGTCAAAATAGAAATAAGTATTATTGTAGCTTATAAAATGGAAGTCGTTAAAATTTGGAAAAAAAAGAAAAGTGCAAAAAGGAGGGAAAATTATTAATGACATCGTGACAAATATTATCTTAGGTTCGCTTTTAGTATAGGTTAATTGATTGATACTCGTGTTAAACTTTTGGTATACTTATCACCTCACAAGGCTAGACTTTTGCTTGAAATTGAAAAACTCCAATGTTGGGCCAATAAGTTAGGTGTCCATTAGACAACACGTACATTAAAATCTCAAAATAACAAAGCCCAAAACTATCGTTTAAGGTAGCAATGCACCAATTAGAATTATTACACAAGATATTAGTCGTACTACTTTCTTCGTATTAATCTTTAAGTAATAAGGCATTTATTTGATGCAAATCATGCAATGCCAATATCTTTTTATTGTAAAATCACAACATGACCTAACACAATAGCTAATTTTTTTTTCAAAGTACATACAACATGATTTAACAAGACAATTACTTAAATTAGGGTTGGTCGTCTAAAAGTTTTTACACATCACAACATGATCCATAATCACTAAGGGCATGTTCTTATTGACTAAACTAAACTGAATTGAACTGAACTGAGCTGAGCTGAACTGAACTGAACTGAATATTTTATAAGAGAAGGAAATTAGGAGCTGAACTGAACTGAAATGAATATTTTATAAGAGAAGGAAATTAGGAGCTGAACTGAGCTGGCTGAGCTGAACTAAACCGAACCGAATTTCAACGTAAGAGAACAGGCCTAATCCAAAACGGACCAATCTCTAATTCAAAGCATGAAACCACAACCATCCAAGAATTCTGTATGTAATTAAATTATTTCAAACCCAAAAAATATTTTTGAATTAACTAATGACCCAATGTACAAAAAGTAATTTTAAGATAGAAAAAGGCCAAAAAGCACTTAATTGACCAACCATGACTCCAAGAAAGACACCACCCTAAAAATGAAAAAAAAGAGGAGAGAGAAAATAAAAAAAAGGACAATATGAGTGGCAATTGGCACCTACTTGGCTACTTTTATCACTCACTAAAAACAGGTAACAGGTAGGGTTTTTATTACACACAGCCTGTTATTACTCTCTCTCTTTCTCACCTGCTCTCCCCTCACTCACTCACTTGCTCACTCTTTTCACTTCACTAATTAAAAGCTCTTTAATTTCCCTTTTACTTTCTCAGAAATTTCATCTCTTTTCCCCAAATCTTCAATCTTAAGCTACCCTCTTCCCAATTTCTTCTCTAATTAACACTCTTCACAATTCTCAAAAACCCAAAAAAAAAAAAAAAAAAAAAAAGAAAAAAAAAACTAAAACCCTTGAAAAATCCATCTTTTTTCTTCATCTTCAACAATGGCATTGTTCATGAAACTACCCATTTGAAAAGTTTTGATCTTTTTTTCTATTTCCTCTATAATTTCCAAAAAAGGAAAAAAAACCATTTTTTTTCATAATGGATTGTAAAATAACTGCAAATTTCTTGCTATTTTTGTTGGTAGTAACACTAATTCCAACTGCATTATCAGATCTTTCATCAAGTAGATCCGCACTAATTTCTCTCTCCTCTGCAGTAGGTGGTCGGACAATTTTATGGAACACTACTTCTAATTCCAACCCCTGTTCTTGGTCAGGTGTTCAATGCAAAAACGACGCCGTAATAGGCCTTCATTTGCCGGGATTTTCTCTCTCCGGTGAAATTCCAACTGGGGTTTTCACAAATTTAACATCTCTCAAAACTCTCAGTCTTAGGTTTAATGAATTATCTGGAAATTTACCCTCTGATTTGGGTTTATGTTCTGAGTTGAGGAACATTTATTTGCAGGATAATAAATTTGGGGGTGAAATCCCTGAATTTTTTTCTGGGTTAAAGAATTTGGTTCGGCTTAATTTGGCTAATAATAATTTTAGTGGTGAAGTTCCTGGAAGTTTCAGGAATTTGAGTAGGTTGAAGACTTTGTATCTTCAAGAAAATAATTTGAGAGGGTTTATGCCAGAATTAAAGCTGGATTTGGACCAATTTAATGTGTCTGGTAATAATTTAAATGGGTCAATCCCTGTTAGTCTTAGTTCAATGCCTGTCACTGCTTTTCAGGGTAACAGATTGTGTGGAAAGCCCCTTCAAATTTGCCCTGGTCTTGCTGCAGGTAATGGGTTTTCTTCCTTTTGTTTTTATTGTTTTCGGGTTTTACTCGTATGTGGGATCGAATCTCGTTTACATCATTATCCTCTAGAAAGCTACAAGTAGGGAAAGAAATTCTGTTGGATAATTGCTTCTATATTTAGTCTGGTTATTTCTGTTCTGTCTTATGTCAACATTTATTTGAGTATCTGGGGTTTGATTGTTTTTAATTTTGAGATTTTCTGAATGAAACTAAAATTAAATTTTGGAAAATAGTTTTTAGATTTAGTTTCTGGTTGATAGTATTTGGATTTTAGAGAGATGAATTTTTGGTGACAATAGTAATTAACCAACTACCAAGTACCAACTAGAAACTACAAACTGGACCTAGTATTTGTTGGTTGACTATTTGCTGTATTTAGTAATGTTAACTTGTGTTTGAGGAGATATTTTTTGTTGAGAACAAGGTGGTTGTTTGTTGGTATGATGAGCAGGTACTGGTATATTGACTGGAGAACAAAAGAAGAAGAAGAAGGGATTGTCGGGTGGGGCGATTGCCGGGATTGTGATTGGAGCTGTGGTGGCATTTGCTTTGATTTTGATGATTATAGTCTTTGTATGTGGTAAGAAGAGGAATAAGGAAAGCAATGCAGTTGATCTTGCATCAATCAATAAGCAATTGGGATTCGATATTCCGGAGGAGGAGAAGCCTGCTGGGGACATTGAGAATGGTGGATATGGAGGAGGTGGGTATTCAGTGCCGGCGGTTGCAGCAGCTGCATTGGCAACCCCTGGACATACGAAAGCAGAAGAGGTGAATGGTGGAGGTGTAACTAAAAAGCTGGTGTTTTTCGGAAATGGGATTGGTGGGAAAATGTTTGATTTGGAGGAATTGTTGAGAGCTTCTGCTGAAGTATTGGGAAAAGGTACATTTGGAACAGCTTACAAGGCGGTTATGGAGATGGGTACGGTGGTTGCTGTAAAAAGGTTGAAGGATGTGATTCTTGGAGAGGTAGAATTCAAGGAGAAGATAGAAGCTGTTGGGGCAATGGAGCACGAGAATTTGGTGCCTCTCAGAGCTTACTATTACAGTAGGGATGAGAAGCTTCTTGTCTTTGACTACATGCCTACGGGAAGTTTATCCGCATTCTTGCATGGTGAGCGACTTCTCTTAAACCGCATTCTCCTACTGTTTATATTTTCTTGCAATTTTCAAGTTGTTTTAGGTGATCTTAATCACAGTCTGTATTTATATTTAAGGGTGTTTAACCATTGAGCATAGTGTGGGTTCAATTACCGCCTATTAAGGATTCTCTATACCCTTAATATCTAGCGAAAAGACTCCAATCTAGACACAAGTCATAGGGTCATGCATTCTGGTATTTTAACCCATGTTAGAAGATGAAAAGGTTGTATTACTTTTGATAAAATAAGAAGGTTAAATAAAATTAGCACATTTCCGCTTCTAACTAAAATAAAGAGAAGATTGTACTGTATGACCTCAAATCATTAGGCTGTTAAACTTAAATTTTAGCAAATATTGTGCACTTTGTCTTCATAAGTGGGGATTGAGTAAATTATCAGGGAAGAAAACTAGGAAGTTTACCCTCACGAGTGTAAAACTGATATAAAATTCGGACTATTTCTTTAGCTTGCCAAGTCAATAAAGGGCCCAACATAAAAGAAGCTGATTAGTGCCGTTGCTACTCTTTGGCATTACTATATCTTGAAATGTTGCTTAAATTATGTTGAAAAGATTTGTTTGTTGGAATTGTATTTAAACTGTAGTCATTATTACTTGGATCAAATGTGAGTTGTATGCTATTGTTATTTTTCCACAACAATCAACCCCACATCTGTACAATAGGTTTATTTGTCTCCGGAATTGCCTTTCTTCACTTCTAGTGTTTGAGAGTTTTTCTTTTGATAATTGGTACTCCATACTATTCTAATTTTATCAATCAGGTTTCGAAGATATATTTGATTCTTCAAGCTTAATTGCATGTTTATTCTGTTTTTGCTATGGACTGTTATAACTATTCTTCCATCCCTGTCATTGTTGTCTTAAAACTATAACTTCCATCAGAAATCGATAATTGCATGTACTGTTTTAAGATTGCTGGAAAGTAAGTGAGCGGGAGGGGATAAGAATAATACAACTATCATAAGAGGTGTTTTTATGCATACAATCATGTCATGTCCTTTCTGAGAGGGTTGGGATTATCTGATTACAATTTTGGTAGAGGGAGTACTTATTAGACTACTTTTTTTTTTTTAGCCGAGGTCCATGTAACCTTTTTTATGAATGTATGAGGTGAAATGCTTTCTACTTTTCGTAGTCTAGGATACCTTTTCGCTGTTGCCAATCCTTAAGGTCATCCGTCTAATGGTTGCTTGTCTTACTATTATTATTATTTTCTAATAGGAAACAAAGGGGCTGGTAGAACACCACTAAACTGGGAATTGAGGTCAAGCATTGCCCTTGGAGTCGCTCGTGGGATTACTTACCTCCATTCTAGAGGCTCGGATGTCTCTCATGGAAACATCAAATCATCCAATGTTCTCCTCACCAAATCCTATGAACCTCGTGTGTCTGATTTCGGCCTAGCTCAGCTTGTGGGGCCATCATCCACTCCAACCCGTGTCAATGGCTACCGTGCACCTGAAGTCACAGAGCCACGTAAAGTATCCCAAAAGGCAGATGTCTACAGCTTCGGAGTATTACTCTTGGAACTCCTCACCGGCAAAGCACCAACACACGCTTTGTTAAACGAGGAAGGGGTTGATCTCCCAAGATGGGTACAATCTGTTGTCAAGGATGATTGGGCTTCAGAGGTGTTCGATCTCGAGCTCCTTAGATACCAACACGCCGAGGAGGAGATGGTTCAACTTTTGCAGCTCGCAGTAGACTGTGCAGCTCAGTACCCTGACACTCGCCCTTCAATGCTAGAAGTAACAAAACGAATTGAGGAACTATGTAGCCCTAGCATTAGGGAGGTTAGCGATCCAGCCACATTCATCAACACAGATTACGGATCCCCTCGTTGAACCTCAAAGCACCCAAGATCAGCCTGTCAATGTGCGTAAGATTCCGGACTCTTACCTTACAAAGATTAACAAAATTCATGTCCACAACTGCTCAACTGGTCCCTTATATTTTCGAATTTTTCCCTCGTGTATTCGCTCGCTTTATTTTAATATTTTTTGTATGGGTTGGAGAGTGGGGTAGAGTTAAGTTAATACTTGTGAATGTGTTGTTAGAGGGATCTTTTGGGTGGCTGTAATTATTAGTGATTTAGTGTGGTTTTTTCTGTCTTCTGTTGGTGTACTGAATGTGCTTTAACTTTACAGCAGATTTGGAGCATTTTCATATCTCTTTGTGTTGAGGTCGACATCTTTAGTTTGCTTCGTCATGCGGGTATGTGTTAGTTGTATTGCATGCTCTTTCAAGTGTAATTTGGTCCCACTTTCTCTCTATTTTTGTTATCATTATTGCTTATCATTCAACTTCTATCTAGGCTAGATTGTATTATTAATACATACATACGTAGTACGGAGTATTATTTTATGCTTTTTTCATCATTTCCTTGGGATAACGTCGTGAATAGAAATTATAATACTCCGATATGCAACTTTGGAATTATTTATATCTCACAAATAATACACCAAAGTTGCATATAATATGAACCGGAGGTAGTATTATTGTTTTGTTTGTTTTTCCAATCTTTGTCTGGTCGGGTTTCTATTGAATATGGCTAGTTGTTCCTTAGCTTGTGCGCTTTGGGAGCTAAATTTGGTCTGGCAAGAAGAGTTTGCTGTCACTGTTACATCGCGATACCTATTTACCTATGAGAGACTTAAGTTGGTTCGGGCTAGATTGTTCTAGGATGGTTTGGTTCACCGCGTAATCGTCTATGGGTCTCATTGTCTCAAACATGCCGTTTGAGCAGGCCTGCCCAGCGGTAGTGTTGTTCATTTAAACCATCATGTTCCAAGTCGCCAACGGTTTTTAGACATACAGAAACCACGCTAATTCGTATAAAATCTCCTCAAAATTTCATTATTGAAGCGATTTTTGATCCATTCGTGTTTTAACAACTCTTGGTTAAATTTTGTTAAAACATTTTATGAAATGGAATAATCATCTTTCTAATGATTGATTTAGAACGTATTATTTGTAATAATTCTAAGAAAGGAAAGAAATGTTTACCCTTGCAATGGAAAATCTATAATTTGCTTAGGCTTCAAAACATGGAGAAAATTATGCCAAAAATTTATGGTAGAATCACTAAATTTTCCTGAAATTTTGGAAGCCCAATAAAAGGATAGATAATATCAACCGTCAACTTTACTTGCGTCATTTCTCCACCCATGACAACTTGGATTAAACCATGAAGAAATAACACTAAATTTAGGCAAACACCTTTTGACACCAATAGATACATTTGACAAACATCAAACTTCGGTTTAGGACCTTTGTCTTCCTTTCTTTAGGCATAGTAGTTCATCTCTTCCTCCAACAATCAACGTAAAATCAAAAGTTAAAAGGAAAAAAAAGAAATCACGACGAGGGAGAGTGGCTAATATAGATTACGAACACTCTCCCGCCAATGGACTCAGCCTCTGCGGAGCTCCCAAGACCGCCTGCCCATGGCAAGTATGACTTCCTTACAAATAGGCCTAGGCAACGAAAGGGCGCCTACATAAAATGGTTTTGCATTGCCTTAGTTATTATCATCATAATCGCCTTAGGTATTAATGCCATAGTTTTGTTTGTTGCCTTCAAGAAGGCTCATGTGCCAAATTTCCAAGTAAAAAATGTTCAAGTTTCTAAATTTAGTGTTGCTAACGTGTTAACCGATCAACAAAAAGTATTATCAACATATCTTGATTTTTTCTTTGAATCCGATAACAAAAATCCTTTGGTTGGCGTTGATTTTGGGAATATGGTGATGGACACGAGTTGGGATGGTGTACAAGCACATTTAGGGGAAACCCACGTCCAAAATTTTGTACAAAAGTCTAAAGGTGTATCAAAGTTGAAAGTAAGTACCAAAAATGAGGTTGAACTAAAACAGAATGTGAAACCAGAGGATATGAAGCTTAAATTATCCCTTAGTGGAGATCTCAAGTTTTTTTCTGGTCCTTTTAAGACCAAACATTATCCCTTCATGATTTCATGCAATGATATATCCAGTGTTTCGGTTAATGCTGCTTGTACCTCCAAAATGTATAACAATGGGTAATTTTTCTTATGTATTTCATACTGCTTTATGTTCATTCCTTTTATTCATTTGGTCTACATATGCGGATATGCCTAGGCAATTTAATTTGTGACGCGTTTGTGATACGCATAAGAATGTGTGTCATATACGTATCAACACGTGACATCGTTTATTGTACCTAATGTGAAAAGAATTGTAGCTTTAATTAATTTTTTCGGAAAATTATATATCTCTAATGAATGGTTTGATAGTAGTACTATGTTAAGGGAGGAGTCGAGGACTAATATCCAATAATAATAATGTGTGAGGTATAAATTGCCTCACAGATTTTTATATGATGAGACGTGTTAAACTATTAGTTAATAGTGTGATGTGCTCAAAAAAGTTACTATTGACCTTATACGAGGTTAATGATATGGGATTAGTGGATTATGGATATATAGTTTAATGAGCTTATTAAAAATGTGTCACCATAGAAGATGAATTGTTTTATCAAGTATGTTTTATCTGTATATACGTAGTATATAATTGTTCATTTGGGCAGCAAAAAACCAGAAGCACCATTGAAGCCAAAGTCACAAACGCCATCACAAACACCAAAAGCAATGCCAAATGATGGAAGTCCAACAGCAGAAGGGCCAACTGCAGAAGGACCAATTTCGGAAGAGCCAGCCGCAGATGAGCCTGCATCGACTCCTCCGGCGAAATCATTCCCACCGGTCAAACTCACCGTCCAAGACAAATTCGTAAGTTAGTCATGTTTTAGTTCAATGAGAAACTTATGAAAAACTACCTACATTTTGTTTAAAAAAACTACGTGCTTAATATGAAGTTTTTCTCTATGTGACACTACCAATAAACGTTTTATCCATAAATCCGTTAGTGGGACCAAAATCGAGCACTTTTTCTATATTTTAGTTCAAATTATTTAGTAGAATAAGTTGTGTTTTGTTTTAGGTTATTATGGATAACGGAATTCTGCAAGCTACAATAGCCAAACCTGGTGGATTTGTCACTGGCATTAGATACAACGGAGTTGATAACATTCTTGATACAATTAATCCAGAAGATGATAGAGGGTATACTTATAAATGTTCAATACTTATGTCACTTTAACTATTTTTTTTTAATACAAAGATACACGAGTACAATTAGGCTGTCACTAACTATTGGGCACTAGTTAGGCACTTCTCAACATTGCTTACACAAAACTTAATGTTTAACATAAATAATTTGAAGTATTATATTGTATTACGGGGTTTGAAAAAAAAATATTATATTACAGAGTATTAACTTTTCACCACCTCTAATATACGAGTAAATGTTGATGTTCTATTCAGGTATTGGGATGTTGTTTGGGCTCCACCCGGTATAAAAGGAACCAAAGGAAATTTCCAAAGGTAGTGTATTCTATCTACGTTATGGGTTTACTTTCAATGTGTCGCATTAGGAATTCTCCTTGTGAAGAGGGTTTTTTTTTTTTTTTTTTTTTTTTTGAAAGAACCGTTAGTCGGGCAATATTATTAAATCATATCAATTTCCGCCAAAGTTAAGAAGCTTTGGGGAAAATTGTCGAGCCATACATGATAAGGTTCATTGACATCAAATCTAGCAACTAAGTGAGCTAGGGTATTACCCGATCTACGAACATGTTTACATTGAAAAGAAACAAAGAACTTTTTCAACTTCTTAATATCTTCATAAAAAAGCATTAAAGTAGAGTAGCCCTTCTCCCCACTGTTAATGTAGTTCACCACAGTTGCTGCATCACACTCGAGCTCAACACGATCATATTGCAAATCCCTTGCTAGCTGCACACCCATCCTTGCCGCTGCAACTTCAGCTTGCTCCACTGACCATCGAGCCTTCACCCACTTAACAGAAGCAGCCACAACACTCCCTGCCTCATCCCTTAACACCACACCCATCCCAATTTTATTCCCTGCTGCCATATGTGCATCAGAGTTGATTTTGATTGCACCAGCAGCAGGCACACTCCAATTCCCAGCCATCACATTACTCACAAAATTCTCAACAGGCTTGAAGACCCTACCCGCATAAACCCTGTAATCAAACAACATTTTTGTAAAATTTGTAGCCACAATAACAGGGTCATTAACAGGTTCATTGTGCAGCCTCTCATTTCTACAAAACCAAGCAGCCCAACATAAAGCACAGAATAGACCAAGGTCGTTCTTGTCTAGCCTATTAGCAACCCACATAAAGCGGTCAGCAAAAGAAGAATTGGGGGCATCAATTAACAGGTCATAGAAATTGCTATAAGACCAAATGATCGAAGCATCAGCACATTCAAAAAGAGCATGAATAACAGTCTCAGCAGCCACCCCACACCCCTGACATGTACTATCATTCACAATGTGACGATAGAAAAGCCTTTCCTTCACACCGAGGCTTCCCTTACACCCCCTCCATATAAAATGCTGCAGCTTAGGAGGACCGTCCAATCCCCATACCTTTTTCCAGAGCTCCTCCTCGTGTACACCATGAGACAGAGACCATGCACGCTGTTTCCCAAGTCTAGCAAGTAGATACCCCGATTTGACAGTATAGCATCCGTTCTTCGTAGGCCACCAGAATTTCTGATCAGAAGGCCAAAAATCAGATAAAGGTAATTCAAGAATTAAATCACATTCATCCACCACAAATATACTTCTAATCAGAGGCACATTCCACTTTCCGCTAGCAAAATCGATCAAGTCAGCCACACGAAGGTCAGGATCAGCATTTAGGTTCATAGTGAGAACAATTGAAGCACTTTCACCTGGCAGCCAAGCCTCATCCCATACCCGTATACTCAGCCCGTTGCCAACTCTCCATTTTAAACCTTCAACCAACAAAGGTTTGGCTCCCCAAATGCTACTCCACGTATAACTTGGATCATACCCTTTTTTCGAATCCAGAAAATCAGCATTTTTATAATATCTCGCCTTTAAAACAGAATGTAGCAGGGACTTTGTATCATTATGCAACCTCCATGCTTGTTTTGCCAAAAGAGCTTGATTGAAAGACTTGAGATCTCGAAAGCCTAAACCCCCCATTGACTTTGGCATACACAAAGAATCCCAATTACGCCAGTGCATCTTCCGAGATGTATTTGTGGAACCCCACCAAAATCTGGCAATGAGCGAATGAATGCTATCAATAAAACCGTCTGGAATTCTAAACACGCTCATCATATAAGTCGGGATAGCTTGAGCCACGGCCTTAATCAAAATCTCCTTCCCGGCACGTGACAACAATTTCTCTTTCCAACCAT